ATTAGTTATATTTATTGGTTTTATTATTGGAACATCAGACATAATAAAATAATATTAAAGTTATTTAGAAAATATTTTATATTTATTATTTTATATATGAATAGAAGTTATTCAGATTATATTGATATAATAGATAAAGTAGAAAATATAGAACAAGTTGTTATAACTGATAATAGATTGAAAAAAGTATGCTATTTTGTTTTAGAATTAATTAAGTTTGTGATACAATATATTAAACATATAAATATTAATATAGATGGGAAGAAAGAAAACGAATAAGACTGAACCAGTTGTTTCTTCAACTGATGAAGAAATTGTTAAAGAAACATCAGTTATTGAGTTTGCTTGTCCAATGTGTAAAAAAATCTTAGAAATGAAAAATGAATTAGAAATACAAAAGAAAGGAAACTGTAAATGTTCGTGTATTCCGACAAGTTTCAAAATAAGTAGAAATGATAAGAAAATGAATATTGATAAAACTAAAGACAGTATAAACTTAGAAACAGATGTTCATAATATTGCTATACGATTTGGGAGGGGAGTTACTCCATCAGATAATGGTGATAAGGAAACTCAGGAAACGGTTAAACAAATAATGAACAAAAATAGTATTTAAAGAGTAGATTTAACATAATTGCAACATTTAGTTTTAAAAGTTTAGTTTTATAATTTAGTATATATATATATGGAAGAACATTTAGAGAACATTGACAGTAGTTTGGAGTTGTTGTTTCCAAAATTAGAAAAAGTGTTGGAGCAAAATGAAAACATACTGAAAATCTTAAAGAGCATGAATATTAAACCTACATATAATAACAATAACAATTATCAAGCAAAAGAAGTAGATAGAGACAGTAGCGAATACAAAAATAAACGAAACATTTATGTTAAAAAACTGAATGAAAAAGTCATAAAAGAACCTAAACAATCAAGTCTGGATTACTATCAAGTCAAGTATAAAGAAGATACCAAGAAATACGTTTAATCATTAACTAACAAAATTTCGTGTCTCAAAAGCGGTTTGTTTATTCCTGCTACTTTGTAAGTTTTATTACCCATAATATCATATTCAATTTTATCAATATTGAATATTTTATTAGACCATTTAGAGTTATACTCCTTTCTGTCGGTGTAATTACCCCTTTTCTTTTGGAACACTTTTACCTTGTCGTTCTCCTCTATTTTGGGATACTTTCTTTTGTTTTTTTCTCGTAGTTTAAGATTGACCTTTACATTTATTTCATTGTCGTCCTTGTGTGCTTCAGACGGCGCCATCCTTGTTGATGAGTGAGATGTGCTGTTATACTGTTTCAATGCTTGCGTTAGGGCATCGGTCCATTTCATGTTGTTAAACCTAACTCTATCGTGAATTTTGTTTTTCATCGTTCTAATAAAACGCTCGGCCACATTTGCGTGGGTCTTCGTGACGATGTGGTTTATTCCTTCACTGTTGAAGAAATCCTGAACTTGATTTTTAGTTGCAAACGCTCCGTCGTCATCAGAATACACGGACATCGGATAACCCATCTTTTTAAAGCTTGCTCTCAACGCCTTCAAAACGTGCTCTCCGTCTCTTTCCTCCATCGGTATTACATCTGCTAATTTACTGAAGATGTCAATCACGACTAAAGCATACTGTGGAACGTTCTTGTCTTTTGCTAAAGGTGACATATGCATTATGTCTATTTGATATTCATATCGTGCGAATGGAGCGGTATAGGAATTAGTACCTCTATAATTTTTGATTTGTTTATTTGGTTGTTTCTTTAAGAAAGACTTGACATCGTCTATTGTTATTGTTGGGTCTTCTTCCTTTGCCTTCTTGTGTGTCGCTTGTGTGCTTCCGAAACCCTCGTCTAAGTCGTAATAGATGTTGCTGATTATTTGGTCTTTTGTTAATCTCGCCATTATATTAAATTGTTAGAAAATATTTTTTCAATATAAACCCGGCCCCACCCCTTAACATAAAATAAAAACTACTTAAAGAAAAATGGATATAATATAGTAAGAGAAAAAATGACACTGTTTAATTATGATAATTGTCCTTGTAAAAATAAATGTAAGTCTGTCTTGGCACTAGCTAATATTTTACCTGTTGATGTGTGTAATCTTATAGGTGGCTATATTAGAGTAACATGTTTTGATTGTTGGCATTTGATGGATGAAGAAGAACATTTATGAGAAATAAAGACATTCCTGAAGAAGGACTGGAAAAAGCAGGACTTCAATTACAAGTTATTAAACTAATGCAAAATAATGTTTTTACACTACTAGCAGAAAACCAATATAGTATAAAAATAAGACATTACAGAAAACACATTGACCGAGTATTTGATATACAAGAAGTTAAAGAACGGTTTAAAAATAGGAAAATGTATTATCAAGCATTAAAATCATACTGTAAGAATAATGAAAATGAAATTTGTATCATTTTAAGAAAATGTCTTAACATTGAAGATTTAAAAAAAATTAAACGTTGTGGGTTTAGCTTTCCAAACCTAAACAGTTGGTGGTCATATAGAAATAACAATTATTGTATGAGATATATTCTTAGCGAATTAATTGAAATTTACACAGATCAATTAATAAAAGGATACGAGCATTATTGTTGTGAGTATAGTATGAGTTGTTATAGTGGTTGTATCGCTGGTGAGATTGAATACGGGTAAAATTAACTTTTGTTTATTAATATTATTATCTTATAATATGATTGAACATTGTTTTATAATCTAACAAGAAGGTTAAGACATTTAAATTAAACCTGAAACCCAGACCAGCCGACCAGCAACCCCTAGCCAAAACTACTTAAAGAGAAAACACCTTATATATAAAGAGAAAAATGAGTGAGGGTAAAATGTCAGAGAATAATTTTATGGTTGAGAATTGTGCTAGCTTACCTATGGAAGCATTGTTAAACATCGCTTCTTATATGAATGGCAATGAAGGGTGGCAAAGACTAAAACAGTGTAAAGCATTAAGGGTCTTACAAAGGAAATGGAAACCGTCTATTTTTGAGCGAGAAGGAGAAAGTAGATATTATGTGTTGATTAGCAATATATGTTTGAAAGGTGATAAAGCACTTTCATATGCGTTGAAACCACCAAAAGAATTATTAAGAATGATGAAGTATGATGAAGAAATAAAGGTTGGAATAGAAATTAGTTCGAAAATTATGTGTAGGAATAATATTTGCAACTGTAGTTATTATGCATCAAGCAAACAGAACAAGATAACAAGTAGAGCGTCATTACAATTTTATATTGAAAAAATAGTTGAAGAAATAAAACAGACTATGAAACGAGACGAAATCATTACTATAGAACATATTACATTTGAAATTTATACATAACAGAAACAATGATTTCATGGCTTAATCATAATATTTAATTATAATATGATTAAACATTGTTTTATAATCTAACAAGAAGGTTAAGACATTTAAATTAAACCTGAAACCCAGACCAGCCGACCAGCAACCCCCTAGCCAAAACTACTTAAAGAAATATTACCTTATATATTAAGAGAAAAATGAACGGTGATGGAATCAATAATTATATCGATAAAAAATGCTATGATTGTTGTCACTTCAAAAAAGAAAATATGGAATTGTATAAATTGAGTTTACCTAATGAAATAGTGAATAATATTATTAATTATTCAATGGATGGTGAAGAAGACATATGCAAAAATTGTAAAACACGGAGAGACAATGAATTTTTAATCAAATGTCTGTTGGGAATAAAAAGAATACATAATAGAAATGTAGAAGATGATATTTTAATATTTCTAACTATAAATAAAATACCACCTTACGATTGTGTTAAACAGTTTCTTAAAATCAGTAAGAAACAATATGAAATGATTGATGATATATTATGGATGTTGGGTTATAGTCAAGAGAAAGGAGAAGATGTTAAAGAAAATATCAAATTATTTATTGAAAGTAAAAAGTTTAATGTTCAGAATACAGTGAGAGATGTTAATATTATTTTTAAAATGATGTATGAAAGAAGTAAGACAAACCAATTAGATTATTATCCTGAACTGAAATTATAATCATAATATAATAATAACATGTAAAATCTTATATGTTATAATTATACTGAACTTTTAACCTATAAAACATAGCTAGACAATCACATAAAAATCACATAAAAAGAAGTTGTTAAGATATATTAGGAATGGTTGTGAAGCAAACTATAATGAATAATTATGGAATGACAGAAGAAAAAGCAACAGAAGACTATGGTGAATTCTTCAAATGTAACAGATGCCTTTATGATAAAACAATTGATGAATTTGGAAATGCAAAAAGTGGAAAAATATATAAATATTGTCAAGAGTGTAGAGCGAAAATAAATAATTGTAGAGATAAACGTCAAAGAAAACAAACGACCCACCAACACCCCAGAACTTGATAACTACTAAAAGGGTTAACTCTTTCAAATGAAAAAAATGTCGGCCCCCAGCCCAACAATGAACAAGGTGACAATTTACCCAAATGATTACCTTAACGAAAACGATAAATAAGCTCCCTAAAAACCCTCTTTTAAAAACGAATAAGGTGGTTAATAGGTTTGAGATGAATATAAAAAAACATAACAGGGGACCTCCATTTTTTCCCCTCCCCTCCCCTCCCCCCTCCCCTCCTCTCACCTCCCCTCCTCTCCCCTCCCCTCCCCTCCCCTCCCCTCCCTCCCTCCCTCCCTCCCTCCCTCCCTCCCTCATGTTTTTCCTTCTTGCGATGTTCAGCTTTGCTTTCAAGTGGCCTTTATGTTGGCCCCAAAGGGGTCCAAAGATGGACCACCCAACTGAACGTGGCACTTGCACCCTACGTCAAGCCCAAGATGCCATGTTGGACTTTCCCGAGCAGATTCCTTGCAGGTCACCGACGCGCACGCGCACAAAGCATGGACCTTTTTCCTGTTTGTTTCCTCTCGTCTGAATCGCACGAGTGGCATGCCCAAACTCAGAGCACCCGTTGCGTGAACAATGCTGAGGAAGTGTGACCGGGACGTAAAGGAGGGCTGTGTCCTGCAAAAGCTCATCGAGTTTCCACACCTTCTGGACCGGCATGTGTTGGAGCAAGCAGAGGCGCTGCCAGACTCCTTGACCCGCGGCACCCGGCCCTAGCCTGAGTCAAACTTGCCGCCCTAGCCTCCCCCCTCCCCACCATTCGACGGTTTGTTCGACCCTTCTCTTGTCTCGTCGCCTCGCCAGGCCATGTCGCCCTCGCCGGTGCCGAAGTCGGTGACGCCGAAGTCGGGGTTCAAGTACAACCTGCGGATGCTCGCGCTGGCCACGCTGCGCCTGCCCTGGCGCTGCTGGCTCTACTCTGAGGGCTTTGTGAGCCTGGCTCTGAAGCCCTTCACCCACAGCGCGGAGGCCCAGAGCCAGATCACCAACCTGCGGCAAGGAGGGCAAGGGGAAGGGGGGACGGACAGGCTTTGGAGGGGGTTAGGGTATGGGAGTGGAGGGGTGAGGTGGTTGTAAGATTTGTGATAAAATTGAACAAATTCCAGTTGCCGCCTGCAAGCGGGGCCTGACCTAGCAAAACGCAGGGTGAAAGATGGCATGAACACTGCCACACACTACACGCTCGTGCTGTGGTGCGTTGTGACCTGTGCTACTCAGAGGATATGAATCTTCAGAATCAAATCTGTCATGCTTTGACATGTGCAGGTTGTCTTTCGCAGCGCCTAGCATATGTAAACCTGGGAAGATGCTGATATGCGACGTCAACTTTGCATCACGCGCCATGACACCTTTGATTGAAACGCGGGTCGCACTGGCCAAGCTCTGGAGAAATCCAGCTATTGACCATGCCGACATGCCTGGGACGATGTCCAAGAGCAGCCGACCATTTTGTGTTTGACCAGCCGAACATTTGATCTCCCCTCAATTTCAAGTGCTTCGACCCCAAGAAGCGTGGCACGGGCTCCTTGTTTGTATTGCCTACACGAGGGTCAAAGACAATCAGCGGCCCATGGTTTCAGGCACTCCAAATCGGTGGCCTTCCACCCCCACCCCACCCCCATCCACAAAGGAGGGCGGGGACTGCAAACGAACTGTTGGCGTTGAACAACTTGAGGAGAAGGCAGTGACTGCCAGAGGCGTTGGCCCATCCGTGCGCTGGATGCTGCGCTGGCGACCTCGGGCCTGTCCTTCGAGGAGTCGCGGAATGTATCGAGGCAACAGCGGCCATTGTTGTTTCGCAAGCCACAGTTTCAGGACGCCCTTCGTTTTGTTGTGGGAAGTAATCAAAACCCATTGTGTTGCTTATCAACCGCAAGCGAGAGTGCTTGAGCAATTTTGGCTGACATGCTTTCTATCCCTTTTCGGGAAAAGGGCTGGAAAGGGGAGGTTGGAGCTTTCTGCCGGTTCCTGTTGATAATTGGGAGGAGACGCTTGCATGATCCACATCTTTCGCTTCTCCGAATATCCCGAACAACATAGAACGATATGCTTTCGCAGGCAAGTCTTTCAGGGCGTGTCTATTGTGGATGGTGGATGGCTTGGCTTCTCTTGTTTCTACTTCACCTTATGTTAACCAATGCGGCCCACTTTATGCGGGGAAGTAAGGGCATGCCACCTCTGTGCAAAAAACAACTCTTCACTGGCGGGTTTTACAAACTAGGGGGTTGGCGGCACGGGGTTGATTTGTTTCCCAGAGGAGTGCCCAGCAATCACCCAGAGGGGCTCATTGATACAGTGTTCCTCAGGGTCATCATGTTTTTGGTGACTCCCAGAAGCAATCCCAATCACGAATTGTTTATGTTTCCCAATCATGCACCCCATGTCTTGTTGTCCGTTTGGGTGTTTTGGCAAACATGCTGGAACTCTGGCACTAGCAGTGTTAAAGCTGCGGGCAAGTTGGGGGTTTCTGGCAAGTTGGGTTGCAACCAATCCAGGGGCCCTTGGACCAACCCCTCCCTTCAGATTCTTTGGGGGGAGAATCGACGGTGCCAAGCCAAGCCACCCGAGCTTCGGCGAGGACCACGTGAGGCCCCAGATCCGGCAGGTCATCCGCGAGCTCTTCAAAGCCCTGGCTGCGGCTCCCTGCTCCCTGCTGCCCCTCGAGGACACGGCGAAGGACCAAGAAATGTGGCTGTGGAGGTCGAAACCGTTTTGGGATCCCATTTTGGGGTAGGTGAATTCACCACCCATGTTAGGACCGATTCTAGTGGTTGGATTGGGATGTTCACTGGGGGTACGGGATTTTGACCCATGGCCATGTGGTGCGGGTTCCTTTTTTTTTGGGGGTGGAGGGTGAGAACCGTTGGAGTTTCGGGGATCTGATTTGGGTTTGGAACGGGCGAATCTTTCTGGGCTCGACTGCAAACGTGCTGCCCGACTGGAACTTTGCCTGGGAGACTGTGACTGAGTCATTTTTGAAGCAAGTCAAAGACATAGGTTGATATTCTGCAGCGACATCGACGACATCGACACTCTTTGTTTATACGGTTTCCACAAACATCTTTTTACCTTAAAGTGATCCATCAGAACGGTGACCCCTACTTTGTTCCGTTTATTAGCTAATGTGCCAAAGGCATCCGTCCCGGTGTTGCTCGGTCTTCGAAAGTTGCGGGGTTTTACAGAGCGTGTAAAATGCTCAGAGGAGCCCTTGGTGTGGCAGATCCTGGTCACTCAAGTCCCTTGCTGCTTTGCATCAGCCCACAGAAGCACACACCTCGATTCATTGTCCCAATGAAGAGCTTTTTCACTTCTGGGGGTGATCCTAGTCGGCTGGACCTACGGAACCGTATGCATGTGTCAGCATCTGTTGACCCTTACATCAGATTCGTACACTCTGCTGCAAGCTCTTGCACGGCGACAGCCACTTTTACAAACAGGCTTCTGAACACATGTCTCCTAGTTTGGTTGCTTTAGCTTTTCGCTTTTCTCCAGTCATTTCATGAGAAGGTCCCGAATTTTAAGCCTCCCGCCCCTCCTGCGCGCGGACAAGGAGGGCGAGGGCCGCAGCGCGGCGGGGCGCAAGCTGCGGCGGCTGGGCTTGGACTTCCTGGTGGACCGAAACGCCAAGGTGTGCCGGTTCCTTCGGTGATCGGTGCGAGAGGTGCAGGGAATGAGAAATGGAACGGCCGGAAAAAGAAGAAGAAGAGTGAAACACAAAAACACATTTTCTAGGGTTTCCTTGAAAGGGATTGCCCCCCAAAAAGGCCATCCCCGACGTGGTTTCCTTTAAAGGGAATCCCAAGGTTCGTTCCCTCGTTCCCTGCTGAGCACCAGGAATTCCAAGGTGGGTTGACAAAATTCATATGACACTTTTGGGACCTCTTGCATGGGGGTATGGGTCAAAGTTAGTCACCACCAGGATATGGACCGCAGGTTTTAGTCCTTTCCATCTACCAGGGCAACCCATTTTGGGGTTACCCTGCTTTTGACCCGCACACATGTCCGGTCATGCATCGTGAATGATTTGTCATGTTGTGGGAGGAAAGCACATGTCACCATGTGACAAGATGAGAAATGCACTGCGTGGCAAATTACCTGTTCAGGGTCCGATTGCTAACATCATCAACGGTGTGTCCAGTGGCTGCATGTCAAAAGAAGGAAGTTCACATGCCCTTTTCCTTTAGTTACTTTAGTGCGCCGTATCGTTCAGGCACATGTCGCCTCTCTGTTCCTGCAAACAAATAGTAAAAGTTCCAACAGAGCGTCCCCAACAGGAACTGTCCCCAGAAGGTCTCGCGCCCTCCTTCAGCATCTACGCCCTACCTCTCCTTTCCGAGGGGCTATCCAGTAGAATCCAGAAGTGAAAGGCGACTCCCGCACTGGGCCCCCATCTTTCTGAGGCAAAGCCCCAACAACAGCGCAACTCATCGGCTTTTGGGGGTCCTTTCTTGAACACAAAATCCGCGTCGTTTTTTTCCGCTTCTCCAGACCGGTCGTCTGGTCGTAGGTGTGGCTGCTGGAGGTTAACTTTCTGAAGAATGGCTACGCCTTGGGCCACGCCCAAAGTGGCAGCGCCGGGGACGCCAAGCGGGGCTTCGTGGCGGAGTTCCTTGCAGAGGAGGAGGTGCTGCGCCGGCAAGTGGCCGCAGGACCCAGGGGAGGCTGCTTTGGGCCTTTGGGGGGGGGAATTTCTGGGGTCTGCGGGTGTTCTGTTCTCAGAGTTGGCGACCTTGCGCCAGGGTGAGCACTTTTTGCGGTGGGCGTGAAGTTTAAATGGAAGGCCAGAGAAAAACCACCGGGTCGGGGAAACAGAAATGTTTGAGCAGACCGCCTCGCTTGGGGACCAACAGGTTGTTGAAGTGGAAGTTAAGGCAGACGCAGAGGGGAGCCATAGCAGCTCCGTTTCGGATGCATCAACTGGGAGCCTTTAAGCAACTCAAAGCCTTTGGCGCAGTCTGCAAGAAGGGCCCCAGAACCCGCTGCAGTCAAGGGGCTCAGTCGGAAGCTGCTTATCGATTGGGATGTTCAGGTGCGGGATTTGATAGAGTTTGCGTGAGGGGAAGAGGTAGGAACTGGTGTCCGCCCAGTTCAACTCCAGGGGAAATTCGCCCTTGGCTGCGCCGAAGGTAGTGTGTTGCGAATTGACCCTATCAAGTTGACCTGCCGAAAGATCAATGCTGTGAGACCTAAAGTGCATGGCCGGACGCCTGCTTTGTTGGGTATGTGCATGAGGTGGACACGTGGAAAACGGGGGGCGGGGGGGGGGGGAGGTATCGGGTGGTGCTTCCCTCAGGAGAAGGAGAAGTGGTTGCAGCTTCCTTCGAGGAGGTGACACCCGCATGCACCGAAGTCACCGGCGAAGCAAAAGAAAGTGGCGGCAGATGCTTCGGCGGAGGCCTTGCGCGAGGCTATGAGGAGAGTTGGCTGCTGGAAAAGACTTGAGTTGTCATCCTTGGTTAGATCCTGTTTGCTGGGGCTCATACTTGTGACTCAAAGCACCACTTGGTACCTGCAATGTGTTGGGAGCATGGCAAGTCTGGCTGGGATGATGCGCCTTGGTGGCGGTTTGCTACATGAGAGATATCTAGCCCTATGTCAGAAATTGCGGGTAGCTGTTTGAGGCTGAGTTGGCTAGCCTGCATCAGCCTTTCCCCGCCCTCTTCCTTTGAGCTGCCAAAAAATGAAAGCTGGCTATTGTTGAACGGCAGCCAGATTTGCCACTTCAGGCATATTTCCGCAGAATTTTTTGGTGCCTCAGAAAGAGACCTGAGCCTGCTTGAGAGGTCCAGCCCAAGAGAGAGAGAGGTCACAGAGTCACGCCCAACAAACATGATTGACCTGGGGCCCAGCGCGTCTTGGCGCACGCCGCCTCGCCAAAAGCTCCCCCCGCGCCAGGCTGAAGGAGGCCTGGGGTCGAGACGTGGGGAAGCGCCCGCCCGCTTCATTGGGGGGCTTTCGGCTTGGAAAGACAGCACCATCCCCGCATTTTGGAACGCAGCTCAGTTGTCTTGAGGGGAACGCAACCTGAAAGAGAGCGGAATTCCCGGATTTTTAAGACGTGCCTCCGTTGTCTTGACTCTGGATCCTGTCATTTGTCATGCTTCCTTCGCGTTCCTCAACCGGGTTCCTGGCCCTGTCTCGTCAGAACCTGTCTACACTAAACCTCCAATTTAAAAGCGCTTCATCGTATCTGGGCCACGTTCCCATTTGGGTTGAAACTTAGGAGGCCTCCCGAACTGCTGGGTTTTTCTTTAGGTTTCTTTTTAAACAGCCCAACAAGTGACAGGTGAAGACGCCGACGCGGGCGCCCTCGCCGGGACCTCCATTTTGCTGGGTGGCACTCGCGGGCGGCTTTCCTTGCTTCTGGGGCAGGCTTTTTTTTGGAGGGTGCCCTTCTGACGTTGCTTGTTCCTCTATTGTGAGACAAAGCCTCATTGTGCTGACCCATTTGTTCTGTTTCTTCCTGTCACGTGGAAGTTTGATACTGGATTCTTTAGGTGCAGTCTTTGGATTTTGGGATTTTCAAGGTAAGTATTTCCCCAGATAGCTTTAGCTATAGGTTTTCTTGCTTCTAAAGAGGTGGGGTTTGTTCAGCGAAATCGGGCCAAGTGGGGGCTGGTCAGCTAGTGAGAGTGACTGGCGGTGATTGTTCGGTGCCGAGTGCTGCTGGTGGTGGCTGACGGTGCTTGTTCGGCGCTGCAGTCAGGGTGCTTGTCACAATACTGGTCCGTAGAAGAGTTGCGGCGTGCAAACATACAACTATAGGCCAGCATGAAGTATAAGACGTGCTGTGGATGTGTAGGACTAAATGGTGCTGGTGTAGTTATGCTGTCTCGCGTGTGAAAGCAACCTCAAGAACAGCCATCTATGCCTTATAGTTGTATGGGGAGGTGTGAACGCCCCTGTCCAAAGGCTGAAGACGGAGGCAAGCGGATTTACGTGCGGGAGGCGCACGCGCGGCCATCCGCGCAAGACGAAGGAAGTGTCTGGAAACACACGGGAAGGATGTGAATACAGTGCGGGAGGTGCGCACGCAGCGGCGCACATGGGAACTTCTGCGGGTGGGTTTCGTGCCCATGCAGTTGTTTTTTCTTCTTTTTTATTTCTGGGCCGAGGCTTCTGCCCGGCATAGATGCCTAAGGCATTTCCTTGAAGTCATCTGCGGACTCACAGCTCCATAACGCCGCATCGTGGGAAGGCGCACTGCTTCTATCCACTTCCTGAATTCTTTTTCATCGTCCTTCTTTTTTTCTTCTTCCTTTTTTCTGACAGCTTCAACTGGAAAGGGTCATCAAGCCAACTGAGCAGAGAAACGCGGCTCAGAGTCACCTGTTCTCCAAGTGGCCGCAGAGCGGACACGGTCACGTCGTGACCGGTGGGTTCCAGGCATCCCCTTAGCCTTTTAGCGTTTTAGCATTTGGTGGTAGTTTCCATGTAGCCCACTAAAACTTAATCTTTTTGCGGGGGATTTGAGGGCAGCCCAGACTTGTCTGTTCCTTGTTTTTCTTTCCACATGGCCACCGGAGGGAAGGGAAGAGGGGGGCATCTGCCTTTCGTCCGAGGCCCGAGCCGGCGCGAACTGCGCGGCTCCCAAAGTGCAGAGATTGGAGGGGCAATCGACTCAAAGTGGGGCTTGTGTTTTTTTTCCTGTTTTTTTTTTTTTTTTTTTTTTTTTTTTTTTGTTATTTTTGTTTCTTCTTGTCTTTTTTCTTCTCAAAACCAGTATTTTCTTTCTTTCTTTTTTATTGTTGTCTTTTTCTTCTTTTTTTTCTTCTTCCGTCCATGCCTCTTTTGTGGCCACTTTTCCTTTTCCAGGTGTCTGGTTTTAGTCCATGAATTTTGCCCTATGCTTTAGTCCATGCCCCTTCTCATCTGGTTCAGAGCCTGTTGGGGCCATATGCTTGTTTTTTGCTTTTCAGAGCTTGGACAATTTTGTGCTTTTGGCAATTTTAGCACCCTCGCTATTGGGATGGTCGATTCCTGGTTTCGAGACTTCCGGGCGGTGTCGCTTTCTATCGCCCCAGGGCAAGCAAGACAAGAACGCAATACTTGGCGCACATTTGCTTTCCTCCTCCTTTGAAGCAGTGTGGGGTGCATTTCAATAGCAGGTTGCCTGGGGTTGGCTCCATGGGTTCTGGGAATGTCTCAAAATGGGAATCTCCTTGCGGATGGTGGGCCTGGGATTGGGAACCCGTCGGTGCTTGAACCGTTTTTCCTGATGGGAAGCATGGCCTCGGGAGATGGTTCCAGACTTGCTTTAGCATGTTGCTTATACATACATATTCTATCAGACAGACACATATCCACATATCAAACATTATTCTGTGAATATACATATATACACATCTATGTGCACATGTATATACAACAGTTTTTGGATTGTCAGCTCGAACAACGACGGGTCTTCTTTTTCCTTTTGCTCACATGCGGGTTGACAAGCTAGCTGGCGGCTGCTTTGGCCCAGGAGGCAGATGGAGAGCCGAAGCGCAAGAAGAGGCGGCGCACAATCCATTTGAGGCTGTGCTGAAATTGGGTACTCCCACCGTTTGGATAGCTTCCGAAAGAAGATAGAAGTGATTTTTGCAGGCTGGCCTGAAGACTCACTTCTCCGGAGATGCTGCGATCCATAAGCGTGGTCCAGAGCAATCTCTGCATTTCCGGATAACATGTCCAACATGGACCCCGGATATGTACTTAGGCGAAACGACGAAGCTCTCAGCCAAAGTCCAACTAGGTCCCCCGGTCGCCCCTTTTTTTGGGGGGGCTTCCCCTACTAAAATAGACTACAGAAAAAAAGGGGGAAACAAACATCGGGTACCCTTATTTTAGATTCGAACCTCTCTACTGGAGGACCTAGCCAAAGTTCTGGCCCACTTCGCCTGCGCGAAGTCCCCCGTTTCGGCCTTCGCGGGCCCCGGAAGGCGGCGGAAGGAGAAGGGTCAGGAGGCCAGGGGCTCGGATCGAGGGAGCCACGGAAAACCCAGTTTGGCCGTGCTGGTCGGGTTTGGTGGGGGTGCCAAAGATGGGAAGCTCCTCTCCTTTAGAGTGCCTAAAAGGGTGGCCCACTTTTGGGTGTTGAAATCGAGCTATGTGTTGAAAGGATGCTCAACAGGAGATACCAGCAATTCCGCTAGAGAGCACCCATATGCATTCTACTTTAGGCACATATAGATTGTAGAAGGCTAGTTTCAATCGGCAAGTAACAGACCGCCGAAGGTGGACTGCTTCTACCAAGTTTGGATCCTAGTTGTAGTGTTTGGGTAGGTCTCAAAACAGGAGGGCCCCAAACCTGGCGGTGTTCCTTTGCCTTGGAAACCTTGGAAACCACCGCAAGGTACCCATCAAAAAACCCCACCCACCTAGTTTGCCGGTTTCCCCAAGACAAACGGAGGGAAGGAAGCCAAGGGTCAGCAGGTTGCGGCCTGCATGCGCATGCGGGCTGATGTCCTGGCTGCGCCCCACAATTTTTCACTCTTGCCGATGTAGCTGGCAACCGGTTTCTTTCTAGTTGAGATCGCAGGTTTCCCTTGGGCTCCTTGCGCTCCTGTGGATTCCCCGCTTTCCCTCGGCTTTCCTCATCACCCGGTTTCCCCGGACCAGCCGCTTGCTCGCCGTGCTCGCGCCAGGAGTCTGTGCCAGGCGTCACGCCCAAGGCTTGCGTCGGTGCGATGCGAAGGGCTGATGGGCTGATTCCTGGGGCTTTTCCGTGGGTGAGTTGTTTCAGGTGGCTGACCAGGCAATCGAAAAGGACACCAGCATTTTGGAAGTTCCCTCGTTAGACGCAACCCCCATGGCTGGCTTTAGCGCTAGAAGGCAGTACCAAGTTCCCCCTCAGCAGCCAGGGCCCATCTCATTTTCCCATGTATGGAGCCATTGCCCGAGGCTCAAGTGACATTGGCTCCCTTTCAGAAAACCCGAAAGGGGCAGATGGTCAGACGTGTCAAAGCTCTTGGCTGCTTGGTACCCAACAGGGATGGTCATGAGCACGAGCAGCTGCGCCCGACCCCATCGGAAGTTCTGACTGCGGCACGAGGGGAAGGGGTTGCAACATATGCGCGAAAGAGCAACGCGCAGCGAAAGCAACGGTTGTCATGAACACCGCTGTCATGCTGACGAACTAGTAAGCGCTCTGATTCAAGCCATCCCAAAGGCTCTGGAGAGCTTCCGGTTCCGGAAGTTCATGAAACTCATACAAGGCAAGCCGTGCAACTTTGGGCTTTTTCAGCCTACTTGCCAGTGCTGGGGTTGCACTTCTCGGGTGGATAACACTCTCGAGTGTTTATTTGGCTGGTCTGAGGTATCAAAACCCAGCCAGGCGCAAAAGCGAGAGGTTGGAGCGAGCCGATCTCCGGCCCGACAGACCCTGGACTTAAGCGAAGGGGTAAGGTGGATTCCTTGATTGCAGGTGGGGAACGCGGTAAACCCTTGGCTTGCTTTTCTTGCTTGGCTTCTTTGCTTCCTTTTGTGGGAATCCATTGTAGCATGGGTCTTCACCAAGAAAGGGTCACTGCTTTCAAGGTGTCTAAGAAACAAGGCCCGGCCGCAGCCTTCGGCTTGTTGAAAGCCTTCCATTGCCCGTGTGCCTTGCCCTGGCGTTGTTTGGACGTACCATTTTGGGGTAGGTGCACCACCCATTTTAGTCTATTCTAGTGGGGATTGGGATGTTCACGGCCATAGCCATATATTTCTTGTCCACGGAGCCAAAAACAATGGCGGGGGGGGCCTGCCTCTAAACCCGCTCCTTGCCAGGCCGCGCCGCTCGCTCCGCCCGCGGCGGAGGTGGGGGTTGTGTGGGTACGTTGTGACACCGATCTCGATGTCATAGGGTCTCCATATGACTTGTCATGGGTGGGTGCAGTGCCGTTGGCAACGGCTCATATTTTGTGAATCTTTGGCTGGAGGATTCGGATCTCATTGGCAGATGCTCTTGTTTTTCCGGCTTGGTTGGCCCTGTTGGACGCCCGGCACATGCCGCAAACATTCCAACTTGCACTTTCAGTGCTGACCTGCAAGGCAAAGCGACATGTCAATCATCCTTGTCACGCCATCGAACCCTTCTCGTACGTTCTTGCAGCTGCAAACAATGCCCCTCGCTGCCTGAGACCAACAAAGAGCTCCAGAAAACGTGCGATGCATAAATATGATCTCTGACCGGGGAGAAGCATGTGAAGTCTTCTTTCGCAAACCATGGTATGCGTGTAAGGCAGACCAGTTTGAAACACAAGGTCTTTCCCGAGTTGAATATTCTTATTTCTTCGGCAGTCATCACAGCCCTCACGGTTCAAACGACCGACTTGCTTCCGGCATGTGATGAGACAATGCGATCTGCCACTGGCCCTTTGGCACGCGAATCCTCCTCATGTGAACGCTTGCACCTACCAGCCCCGCCTCTCCAAGCTTAAGGCAATGGCCGAGAACGGCGTGGGCGTTGCGTCTTTGGCTTTTCGAGGGTACCCTCCAAAAGGAAAGCCGCTGTTCGACCTCCCAGATTTGTTTCAGGGTTTCAGGATGGCACAGCGGACTTCGAGTGTGAGCCGATTCACAGGCCGCCAACTAGATCTCAAGTGCCATTGGTTTTGCACTCACCCCAGGAAACAAACATGAATTAACCTCTCGATTCACGGCAAAAAAAGGGAACACGCTCCCCTTTGGGGAACTCCTCCCAACACCCCGTGAGAGGGCGGGTTCTTGATCCAACCTGTCGACCCTTGCCAGGCTGAGCACGACCACGCAGGCTAGGGAGAGATGAAGTAGCCGGCGTGGCTGAAGGGCGTGGCTGATTTTTTAGGGGCCCCCGACATGGCTTCGGTTTTCCTTTTGGCTTCCCTTTAAAAACCCAACCTGAAAAGGGAAGCGAGGCAGCTTAGCAACCCGCGACTTCTGCGGCTGCCGAGTTTTTGTAGGCCAAATGTCAGGAAAGCAATGCGAATGCAAGGAAGGGCAAGTAAGCTAGATTGCTTTGCGTCCCGGGCAAAGAGATTGCCATGAGTTTGAACAAGAGGCGGTATCATCCCTCTTTGCACCACAATTACAGATGTTTACGCAGCAATCCTGCAGTCTGGATTTCATCCTGAATTGTGTTGTGGGTGATTGCTTGACTCTTTGATGTTCGCTACAGCAACATGGCCATGGGTCAAAATCCCGTACCCCCAGTGAACATCCCATTCCCCGCTAAAATAGGTTCTAAAATGGGTGGTGCACCTACCCCAAAATGGTACCAAAACGGTTTTCCACAGCCACATCAAAAACAGTACGCAGGGACTGGTGGGGCCAGGGGCGCCTTCTCCTCTTATCCCCCAAAGGGACGTTGATGCCTCTTGCTTTTGCAAGCTTTGTTGAGGTGCTTGAGCTGGGTTTTGCCGTTTTGGGCCACGGCGTGTTTGGATCTGCGGGCCAGGTACCTCGCCAAAGGAGCAGGAGAGATCTGGGTGGATGGGAACTTGCACTGGAACTTGACTAGTGTCATGGGTCAGAGGGGTTGGTTTGTAGCTGCAGTTTGACCTTTCGTCATTCAAGGAAGCAGTCGGTGAAGCTTGGTTCTGAGATTGGCAATCAAGGTCAGGGAACTTTCTTGTAGACCTTGAGAGATGCAAGGGTCTCTATCTTCCATGGAAGACCATGCACGAAGTGCCGGGGTCCGTACCTGCCGAAGAGCTGAACAAAAACCAACTCGGCAATTCAAAGGACTCCCGCAGAGTGTCATCCAGACATGCAACACGGCCAAGGTGCCATCATTTCCTGGCTTGTGGGCTTGGCAATCCATTCGCCCTATAATAAACGGGTCCCCCCTAATCAACAAATGTTATCCCGGAACAAAAAGCACATATATATATATATACATCTTTATATTTAGGGGGCCCGAGTTCCAGTCTTTTCTCTTCGGTCCTCTTCGCGCTGGTCCAAATGAGGTCTCCCGTTTCCGGGCCCAAAGATCGTTTCAAACAAAAAAACTGAGTAAGGAATTTAAGCAGCAGACATTAGTAACATGTGTTTGGAGCTTTGTATGGGCTTCTAGTGGCTAGTTTAAGATTGGTATTCCTGCACCAGGAGTTTTCGGAACACTGTCAAATGTTAGGGGGACCTTTCCTATTCGGAAGAATGGATTAGTTCTATAGCACATTTGGCCGGCCTCATGATATGCACCTCGAACACAAAACCGTCCTTGGTTCGAGCCGCTTCTTTGGAAAGTGCCAAAGGCTGTGAAGTTGTGGCGCGCCAACACTTGGAACCAAGAAGCTCTCTAGGGGGCGCTTTGGCCCTTCGAGGTCAAAGAGGAGAAGTGGAGCCAGGGTAGGGGAGGTCGACTATTCAAGAGAAGTTTGGAAGGAGCTTCTGTGGTACGGCAACTAGTTGAAAGCTAAGGCATCAGAAGTTCTCACGAGAGTAGTGCATGTGTGGTGGGGAATAAACAAATAAACACAAAGAAAGCTGCTCGATAGACAAACAGATAAACAGATCTATGATATTGATAGATTAAATTGCTTGATCTAGATACATAGATAGATAGACACACCAATTGATAGATCGGTAGATGCATCGATTGTCAGATAGATAGATATCTAGATAGATAGATAGATACATAGACAGACAGACAGACAGACAGACAGACAGACAGACAGACAGACAGACAGACAGACAGACAGACAGACAGACAGACAGACAGACAGACAGACAGACAGACAGACCGACAGACAGACAGACAGACAGACAGACAGATGGATAGACACACAGGCAGGTAGGCAGGCAAACAGGCATTCAGGCAGGCAGGCAGGGCAGGACAGGGCAGGGCAGCGCAGCGCAGGGCAGGGCAGGGCAGGGACAGACAGACAGACAGACAGACAGCTAGATGAGTAGATACGCAGATAGGTAGATAGAAAAGGTATGGATAGACAGACAGATAGATCGATCGATAGATTGATAGATGGATAGAAAAATCGAGACAGGCGGGAGGGCGGGTAGGCAGGCAGGCAAGCAGGCAGGCAGGCAGACAGGCACATAGATAGATAGATAGATTGGCAGGTAGATGGATAGACAGATCGATGCATAGATGAACAGATAGGTCGATAGATGTACAGAAAGAAGGAGAGTTTAGATAGAGAAAGAAACAGAAGGAACCACGTGAACAGATAGACGAACAGACAGATGGATGAGATGGGTAGATGAATAGAGAAGAGGAAGCAGAATGAAAAGGGAAAGAGTGAATCAGAGAGAGAGAGAGAGAGAGAGAGAAAGAGAAAGAGAAACGAAAGAAGAGAAAAGCAAATAAGAGAAAAATAAGGGGGGAGAAAGAGAAAGAGGAAGAGGAAGAGAAGGAGAAAGAGAAGCAGAAAGAGAAAGAGAAGGTGTAGGATAAAGAGAAGGAAAGAGAGAGAGAGAGAGAGAAGTATAGTTCCGACAATTTTTGAAACTTCTGTAGGGGACATCAACATAGGGCCATCAACGTACGCATTGATTGACGGCCCCTCTCTTGGCAGGAGCAGGTGCTCCTTGCTCCTGGCCAGGCGGGAGCGGGACGTTCGGCTATCGAGGGTGCGTGGCATGGCCAAGCGCCAGCTGCCTGATTGAACCATGCCCAAAGTCCAAGTAGATGCAGCAAGAACAAGTCAATGGATAGCGGCAGAGGTCGAAGGCAAGTTTTGCTGCAAACTTCCTATAGCTACGTGCAAGAACCTTTATTTCGCAGTAAGGGAACTCTATTTGAAAACCCGCTAATCATAGCAACCGGGTTGCTTCAGTGGCGGGTCGGCTCTCGCTCCGCACGCCCGAAAAGTGGCCTTTCACTTCCCAGTCTGGCTCGAAATCTCTGGGGGGAAGCACGTGATGCATTTGCACAGCGGGGGGGGGGGATAGGTAGGCGAAGACCGGACCGGGCTCCCCTTCAACATGCCGAGGCGCGAGGAAGCCCATCGTGCCGTCTGCAAATCTGCTCGCGAAGCCGCGCCTCGCGAGCAGAGGCGGCCACGAAGCCCAAGAGGAAGGCGAGGAAACCCAAGCCGCAAGGCTGGCCGGCATGGGGAGGGGGGGGGAGGGTAGTTTGGGTTTTTGTCATGCTTTTTCAGTTTGTATGTTTTTTATCCCCCAACAGCTGAAAGCTTTGGGGTCTCAGCCCAGATAGGCTCCGGGGTGGTTCGGGGCAGCCCTCAGGCAAGGTTCCACGAGGGTTCCACCAGGGTTCTGCGAAGGCTGCGGGTGCGAAGGCTGCGGGTGCGAGCACTAAAAAGAACACCGCATGCTGTTGGGGATATCACCTGAGTTTTTTCCCACTTTTTTGATCCAGAAGGATTGTTTTTCTGTTGCCACCCGGCAGGCATGCAAGCAAACAAGCAAGCGACACCCACCCTGAACCAACCCTACACTCACCTAAACCCACAAAAAAAACCACAACCTAAACCCCTACCCTAGACCATCCCTACGCCCACCCTTTTCTCAACCCACCCTCACCCTAAACCAACCCTAAATCCACCCACTCTAAACCAACCATAACTCGCCCTGACCCCCTAAACTCGCGACCCTAAACTAACCCTTGACCCACCTAAGCCCACACCCCCCGTAAGCCCTAAACCAACCCAAAACCCACCTAAACCTTTTTCGTTTTTGCTGTTCAATCTTTGTCAAGACGGTTAAGCAAAGACATCAACATCCGAGACAACCAGAGGGCCACGCGGCACTTGTTTGTCGTGGGCCCAAGCGGAGCCATTGTCAGACACAGGTCAAGAAAAGTAGCCGTCGAGCCGGCGTGCAGAGTGTCAACGGCAGAGATCAAATATGGGTGAATCCGTGGACCCAGTTTCAACAAAGAGCAAACACGCGCAAGTAAGCCAGCGCTATGAATGGCCCGGTAAAGTTGGGGAGCTCCAGCTGCTTCTGATTTGTGGCCGCACAGCGCAAAAACACGGTTCTTTCGGATTTGCCTTTCGACCCCGGAGAAAATCTATGGACACTGCGCTAAGAGAAGCGGTAAAGTGGCGCCTGGTTTGGAGAAGTGGTCTGAAAAAACGTGGCGCCCGGTGGTGCCACTGCCAGGCGTCAAGGGATTCCCAGGGGAAGTGGAGTGGCCACTGCATCGGATGCCAGGCGAGGCAGAGGCGGAGGGGAAGGACCGACCGGGATCCGAGGGAGCCGGAGCGAGTGATTGTGACTTGTGCAAGCGGCAAATTTTTTGCTGGTGCTCAGCGAAGGAGAAATGGTGCTCGACCCTGAAAGAACCCATCCAACTGGTGGTTTTTTTTTGAAGGGGACCAATTCCTGGCTTCATTCCAACATTCTGCTGTGGATGGACGAAATCCGGTCGCACCACCTAAGAAGCCATGGGAAGCCATTGTTTGCTGGTATTTACAAGGGAATTATCCTTTCAGGTTTGTTAGGTGGTGCAGGATTTCGTTGCATTCACATCAGTGTTGCACCTTTGGCTAGCTATCCCGTCATTCTACTCCCGATGATTTCACTAGGGCACTAAGGCTTCAAAGAGGAGCTTCGCAACATCAGTGCTGAGTGTGTCCAACGTAATTAGGTGTTTTTTTGCCCATGACACCATTGGCTTCCTTTTGTTGCCCCCCCAACAGTATCCTACAAGGGTTGGTTTCTCTTGGGTTCTGTTCGAGCAGGACGGTGACCAAGGGTTTTTCTGGCAGGAGCCTTCAGAAAAAGCTGAGGCTGAGGCGCCAAAGGAGGCGAGCAAGCGAAGCGGAAGGGAGCTGCTCTTGGGGTGTTTGTTGCATTTTACCAGCCTGATGGTTCTATCGTTTGCTTATCTGCTGGAGTGATTGCTTGCTGGCTTGCTGGCTTGCTGGCTTGCTGGCTTGCTGGCTTGCTGGCTTTGCTTTGCTTGCTTGCTTTGCTTGCTTGCTTTGCTTTGCTTGCTTGCTTGCTTGCTGGCGTGCTTGCTTTGCTTGCTTTGCTTGCTTGCTTTGCTTGCTGGCTTGCTTGCTTGCTGGCTTGCTTGCTTGCTTGCTTGCTTTGCTTGCTTGCTTGCTTGCTTGCTTGTTTGCTGTTTAGTTAGTTGGTTAGTTGGTTGGTTGGCTATTGAGTGGGTGAGTGGGTGAGTGGGTGAGTGGGTGGTGGCTCAGCCAGCCAGCCAGCCAGCCAGCCAGCCAGCCAGCCAGCCAGCCAGCCAGCCAGCCAGCCAGCCAGCCAGCCAGCCAGCCAGCCAGCCAGCCAGCCAGCCAGCCAGACAGACAGACAGACAGACAGACAGACAGACAGACAGACAGACAGACAGACAGACAGACAGACAGACAGACAGACAGACAGACAGACAGACAGACAGACAGACAGACAGACAGACAGACAGACAGACAGACAGACAGACAGACAGACAGACAGACAGACAGACAGACAGACAGACAGACAGACAGACAGACAGACAGACAGACAGACAGACAGACAGACAGACAGACAGACAGACAGACAGACAGACAGACAGACAGACAGACAGACAGACAGACAGACAGACAGACAGACAGACAGACAGACAGACACAGACACACAGACAGACAGACACAGACACAGACAGACAGACAGACAGACAGACAGACAGACAGACACAGACAGTCAGTCAGTCAGTCAGTCAGTCAGTCAGTCAGTCAGTCAGTCAGTCAGTCAGTCAGTCAGTCAGTCAGTCAGTCAGTCAGTCAGTCAGTCAGTCAGTCAGTCAGTCAGTCAGCAGTCAGTCAGGCCGTTGCTTTCCTGATCGTCAGCTGCTTTTGTCAGTTGTCAGGTTCCCAGCATCGTGCCAACCAATTGATCCCCACGCAAAAACCGTCCAGTTCCCCTCAACCGGTATGTTGAATTGATATTTCTAAGATCTACTCGCAGGGAACTTCTTAACACATTCTCACGTCTTCCTCTTCCCCTTGGGTTTAAGCCACTTGTTGGTTTCAGAGGCTACGGTACGGCCAGAAGCCGCTTTGCAACTCTTCGTCTGCAATTGACAGTACTTTCATCGGTCTTGCACCAGAACCGATGATCAACAGGCTGAGGGGGCACTTCTAGATGGACAGCAGCCGCGCATCGGTTTGTCTCATCCATGACCAAGTGATTTCTGGTTGGACAATCTCCCAACTTGGATGAAAACAGATTTGGGACCCGCGTTGTCCTTTGCTTTGCATTCACACGGACGGCCGGCAAGACAAATGATGGGGTTTTTGGGTCGTTGGACCAAGCCCTGGTTGTTCTTCAGTGGATATGTGGCTTGACCGTGGTCCATTTCCAAAGGCCAGCATGACACCAAACCACTTTACGGAATCACCAGTTTTGACGCATGCAGCTGGGCCCTCAGAGGTGTCGAGTCCGGCGACACAGCGTTGCTTCCAAGGGCCGATCGCAGGCAACACGTGCAATGAGCTCTTGAGCTGACCTTTTGAAACACCATTTTCCACTGGAAGAACTCCAGCGGCGGTGGCCCTCCAGCGACTTGTCCCGGTCGTGTTGCCCTGTGAAAGCCAAGGAGATCAACCAATACGGCTCCAGTCTGACGCACTGGTTCCAGACAGGGCTTTTGGCTTTGAACGCGCCAGTCCCCCCCAGTTCAGCCCACTTTTTTGTTTCCTGTTGGGTGTTTGTAGAATCCCTTCCCAGGGGACGTTGTCCCCTGGACCGCTCGGCCCCAAAACGGATCACTGGGCCGGGATTCCGCAGGCGCCGGAGGCAGAGAAGGAAGGCTCGCTGGCAGGGTTGGCTTTCGTTTGATACCGGCGTTGGGAAGCGGGTGGGGGAAAGGGGCTCACTTACACTCAGAACGTGGAAGCTCCCAATGGAATCGAGTCTTAAGGATCTTCCATGGAATCGACTGAAGGCTATGGTCATGCAGTTTGCTTCGCCTTTCTGTGAAGCTCGCAGGCCCTCTTGGATGAGTCATTCGGTCGATATTGATCCATTCAGCCGCCGGTGTGCCAGTGACCTTGGCTGTTAGCATCAACACGCGTGTTGTGCCAAACATGTTTCAATCACTGTTGCGCAAACAACCGCATCTTTGCTTCCCATGAACTGAGCTTACGGGCCCGCCATGAGCAAATCAGTTCCGAGCGAGCAACGCTGTTTTTTCCCTAATCTTTCGATGCGACCATGGCCAGACCTCCACTCGTTTGCGAAAACATATTTTCTGGGCTCATTGGGCTCGTCATGCGTTTTGGCTGGACAAAGAGGCAGCATCCCAACAAGAGTCCTCCCAATCAGAACCTGGGGCACCAAAGGGTAGCTGACTTGACGTTCCCCAATCCAGGTTTCTTACTCGAAATGACCGATTTGGATGACAAACACAGATAATAAAAAAGAAACCAAGCAATGCTGGCTGGGGTGGCAACTTGACCAAAGGACACCCCAGGAGAACTTGGCATTTTTGTTCCCCATCTCAAGGCCGGCCGAAGCGCCGAAAGAAGCGGGAGAAGAACCGCGAGGCGCATTTGGAGTGGCAGAGCCGTGCTGATCCTAATGTGGTTTTATGGATTTTCAGGAAGTGATTGGAAGAAATGTTCAACCGCGTTGGTCCGAAAAGAGTCCCGAGAGTAAGGTCGGATGGAGTATGAGTGAGGCCATGGTTGCGATTTTTCTGGAACAACATGCCGCGCTCACTTGCATTTTGTTTGGGCAACAGAAATGAGTCCAGTGAGACATGCATTGGAAAGCTGCTGCACCATCGTGCCATGAACGATGCAGGTGGCTGGGCATGTCGGGCTGATGGGCGGGATTCTAGGGATGCTGAGGAGTATGCTGGGGATGGAGCGGCTGGGGATGCAGAGACTTGTTGGGTTGGTTGACAGCCTTTTTTTTGATCTGCGCATCACTCAACAGTGGCGCGCTCTAGTTCCACACTAAACTCGAAACTACAGAACAAGTATGGCGAGCACAAGAGTATGTTTGCAAGAGGTCAACCTTGGCAAGATCACCTTGGCAACGCTGCGAAAGGAGCATGCTGTTGTTTTACAGCATGGCTTATTTGATGATTGCTTTTCTGGCAAGGTCACGGGTGTGACAACTTATCAGATGCTGATAAAGTTTACTGTGTTTCAGTGTCATGGTCGCCTGTCTATGTGAACAGCAAGGTCAGAATAGCTACTCTTTCAGGAGATTCCGGATTGCTTGCCCTGCGAAGAATTCCCACAAGGAACACTTTGGTTCACCAGGATGCTGGTTTCCCATTTGCAAGACATTCATGTCGTTAGTGGCTTTTTGGAGAACGTGTTGCCTGTAACATGTGCCGTGGCCAAGGGACCTCTTTGCTTGCGGCTAGGGATGTTCTTGAACGCGGTAATTTGGGATCGGACAACCAGGCTAATGTTCAATGTTTCGGAAGCCAATCATGAGCATGGCCCATACACAGAGTCCCCAGCACGTCCCGCATAAATGTAGACAGCAGATTGGATGCTCCACTGTCATTCTTGCACTCTTCTATCATGCTTCTAGCAGCCGTAAATCAGTTCTATCCGCAGGGGGGGCATGTAAATGAACCCTAGCATGAAGCCAGCCAGAAAACATTTTTTCTTTTCCTTCCAACCGCCAAATTTCCGGTTTTTGATCCCTTCATGCGATTTGTGGGGTCAACAAGAAGAGCACCATAGGTGTCCTTCTTGGTTGGGTCGAACAATCGATGGGGACACGATCCCTGGTTTACCTGGTTTTTTGTACCAAGGAAGCCCAGCGATTTGTTCAAGGACTGTGAAGAGCGCAGCTCGCTCGTGTGCCCCGCCCTTTGCCAGGCGGAGCAGGAGGCGAAGGGCTTGGCTGGCGATGGAGCAGAAAGGGATTTTGGTTGGAAGGCTTACATAGGCAGAATCAACATGTCATCTGGTCGGGGGAACATGCAGGGAAAATCCATATGCTTCCCTCTGCTGTTTGCTTTTTGGCTTTGAGCTTTGCTTGGTTTGTTGTCTTTTGGTTGTGCTTTGCAGGCTTGTTGATTGGCTTGTGCTTTGCAGGCTTTGCAGGCTTGTTGTGCTTTGCAGGTTGAAAAACACACAAAAAGGTCTGCGCTTGGTTGAACCACCACAAAAAGGCCCGCTGAACAATCGGCCCAACAAGTCATGTCCAAGATAACTTCTCACGCCATGCGGGAGTTTCTCAGAATAGAGAACCAAAAGGAAACCAACCATCTTCGGGGACCCCTATATTGAAACACATGCATGTAGGCGTTTATGCTGTTGTCATCGCTTTCGAGCCAGGATGCGCGTCAAGATGACCAGGCGAGGGCCGGCCGTCAAAGTGGCAGCTGCGGAGTTTGGTTTGGAGGTCGGGTTTGAAGGTTGAGTTCATCTGGATATTTTTTCGAAATGGGAGGTACCCCCCAAACTGGTGGTTCGTTGTGATTCCCCTTTACGCCAACCCGTAAACAGGTGCCCCAACAGCGCACACACACACGGGGCGGCAAGGCTGTGGGTGACACTTGTCCAAGACCCTCGCCAAGTGGAGACACGTGCCTGCAAAGGGGCGGCCCCTGGAAACTCATGTTGCCAAAACCAGGTTTCCAAATGAACACGAGGAACGGAGGCAGCGGAATTTGCGCTGGCAACCTGGTTTCCAGTGACTTGGAGCCATTGGAAGTGAGCCATGGGAAGTTGCCCACTGGCAGCTCTCGCCTCTTGCGACTCCCTTTGGTTGTGGAGTTTAATCCTTGGTACTGTCTTGATGAGCCGCACACGCCACACCCGCCACTCATTTGAGAGGGAATGTCAGCTTCGGGACTCTTCCCGCTTCGAGCAGGATGAAAACGAACGGAAGCCGTTCAGTGAGGGTCAGTTTCGCCGAAACGCGATCTTGGGTCATGTTCAGTCGAACGCATTTTCTCAACTGGAAACACGCAAGTGGAAAGAGTTTAAATCATCGCCCCTCACCCGTGCGGTGCGATTCCTGTGATCTTGGGCCCAGTCTCCGAGCTCTTTGGTGTTTTGCCGCCCAAGTGAATCGCTTCGCTTGCTGGACTGGTCAGGCAGTGCTCTTGGCGGCGGTCGAGGAGCTTGCCACTTGGGCCGAATCAGCTGGAGCGGGACTTTCTTTGGGTCCAAAGAGAAAGGAACCCGGTAGGCTTTTGTTGCCTTTTCGCCCAAACATGTGATCTTGCGGAGGCCTGGGTTTTCATATATTTGTATATATATATATGTATAAACACAAACATATTGTTCCGTTTCTCTTCTTCGAACTTCGGGGAAGACACAATGGTGGAATTGGGACACGTTGCCATCCCCTTTTCAAGGCTACGCGGGGAAAGAATCGATTGTGGATACAGCGACCACCCAGCTGTGCCTAGAATGCACTGGGTGGTTGGAACCTAAACAATGACTGGATTCAATTGGCGCCCAATGCAGGTGGCCTTTGCTCTTTTCCGGAAACATGTAGAGCGAAGCTGACACTGGTTGTCAACTTTGTTTTTTGCAACCATGTTTTGGGACACCGCATATGGTTTTTACACTTTCTTGTACATGTATTTTGGTGTTTTTGTCCTGCTCCCACTACCTGCTTCGCAATCTGCGCTTCGTCTTTCTTTTTCAAAGCTGAGGCGCCCGAGAAGAGCCAAGAAGCCGGGGCTGAGGCGAGCACTGCCCGTCTTATCTTCGTGGTTTGTGGGTCAAAACCGTTTTGGGATCCCATTTTGGTTGGTAGGTGAATTCACCACCCATTTTAGAACCTATGTTAGTCTATGATTGGGATGTTCACTGGGGGGTACGATTTGGCTTTTGACCCGTGGCCACTTGTTTGGGATCTCAAGGCCCACTTCAGCAACGAGCGTACAGGCGACTGCCTGAGTCTTCCTATTTTGCCTCCTTGCCGCTCGTCACCAAGTGTACTTGTGGGGCCCAGGTAAACTCCGCATTCGCTAGTAGACGCTTTTTGTTCAAGGCTGACCACTTTTTTTCGAACTGGTTTTGAGTTTCCAGGTGTTAGGCTTCGTTTTCACACCTTGGCATCCGCCAGTTTTTGCTTTAAGGAGCCTTCCAGGCGGGAATCGCACAAAGCCCGGAAGTCTTACACCGGCATCATGTATCTTCCTTCCGACCTTTCAGAAGCCCACCCAAAAAGAGGACCTTCCCCCACCCCAGCCGAAACCCACCTTCGGTTCCCGCCCGAAAGCCCGGCCGTGCGAAAACCGAAAACCCGGGCGCCAGGCGAAAGCGCGGCGGCGGCGGCGCAAGGTGCCCAAGGAGCCCAAGGCGGAGGCCTGGAGCTGGTGGAACGGGATCGACGCGGGTCTGCGGGTCTGAGGGTCTGAGGGTCTGAGGGTCTGAGGGTCTGAGGGAGTTTTAGTTGGAAGGACGCCGAGAGAAACCTTCCGGTGGTTTCTTTTTAGGGAGAAATCTGGCGTTCGTCCCTCCGAGTTGGATTTTTATTTTGGCTGGAATCCCCCCAAAGCAGGTTCAGTCTCAACGGAAAGCAAGGTTAGTCTCTGTTGCACCTTCGAGTTGACGGCGAGGAGCTGGTAGGTAAAATGAAGCCAGGCGTGGTGTCAGCAGGGGGATGACGCTGGTATCCGAATCACTTCTGGGAGGAAGAACCGCATGAAGGAGGGGAAGTATGCCGCAGTCAACCTGACCTTCATAGAAGTCATAGTTCGCCGCAAGAGTTTCTGGCGCTGCCAAATCCTGGCAGCATAGCTGCCAAATGCTGGCTGACCGCCTCATGGAAGATTCAACAAGAGTCCCCCGCAAAGGGGACTCCTCTAGACATCGACATGTTGTTCCTTTGGGATTCACGGCAAACTCTTGGAAACATTCTGCATGCCTGAAGTGGTTTTGGTTGCCGCCTGCGCTTGTTGCGCATGCGCCCAAACTTTGACTTGCGCGGCCCCTTGTCTCTAAGGGTGGAAGTACATACCCCTTGTTCATACCCCTTGGCTTCCGTGGTTTCCAACCTACTTTGTAAGGGGTATATACCCCTGTCGGGGAGAGGGGACATCAGCAGGCCTTTTGGGTTCATTTGTCCAAGGGGTATGTAAAAGGGGCATGCACAAGCACCCCTGGATTGTCCTTGCCGCGAAAGCCAACAACGAGGGCGGACAACGCCGGGTAGTGCAGCGCAGGTCGAGGCTCCAAAGGTCGAGGCCGGGTGTTCGGATGGGACTGGGGGAGGGCCACAAGTCGCACGCCTAGGAGATGCCTTGGACCATTTGGGCCGATTCCCCTTTTCAGGACTCCCCTTTTGGAGACCGTGGCCAGACCACGGCATGTGAAGAGGTTAAGATACAACCAGATTGGGGCGGATGCCTTGGCCAAACGTCAGTGATGGAAGTGGGCCGCTGGTTGGATTGATGTTTCAAGGGGAACAAAACGGCCACCGACGCCGTTTCTGAAATTTGTTGGGGGCACACGTCCGACGCCAACTCGGGGGCAGCCGTTTTGGTCTGTGGAGCTCCATTTGTCCAAATGCGAAAGCCTTTGTAGACGAGAGGCTGTGGGCGCTTCTTAAAATTGATGTCCCAATTAGATGCTCGGTTTGATGTGGGTATCTTAAGCCCTCATAGGGAGATTTTCCATACACGCATATTTCCCGCTCGAACCATCGATTGCAAACAGTTTTTGTGATGTTTCAAAGGGACATGTGAGACAATCCGGAACGTTGACCATGACCTCTCATTTCCTGAGAGCCCGGTATTTCCTTGCATAGTATTCTCTGGGCGTTCTTATCTTGGTGGTTCCCAGTCATCCCCGTTTTTTTCCCCGAAAGCATCGCGAAGGGTTCTTCCGTGCGGAGCCCTTGTGCAAGTTACATAGAGCCAAGTTACATAGAGCCAAGTTACATAGAGCCAAGTTGCATAGAGCCAAGTTGCATAGAGCCAAGTTACATAGAGCCAAGTTACATAGAGCCAAGTTACATAGAGCCAAGTTACATAGAGCCAAGTTACATAGAGCCAAGTTACATAGAGCCAAGTTACATAGAGCCAAGTTACATAGAGCCAAGTTACATAGAGCCAAGTTACATAGAGCCAAGTTACATAGAGCCAAGTTACATAGAGCCAAGTTACATAGAGCCAAGTTACATAGAGCCAAGTTACATAGAGCCAAGTTACATAGAGCCAAGTTACATAGAGCCAAGTTACATAGAGCCAAGTTACATAGAGCCAAGTTACATAGAGCCAAGTTACATAGAGCCAAGTTACATAGAGCCAAGTTACATAGAGCCAAGTTACATAGAGCCAAGTTACATAGAGCCAAGTTACATAGAGCCAAGTTACATAGAGCCAAGTTACATAGAGCCAAGTTACATAGAGCCAAGTTACATAGAGCCAAGTTACATAGAGCCAAGTTACATAGAGCCAAGTTACATAGAGCCAAGTTACATAGAGCCAAGTTACATAGAGCCAAGTTACATAGAGCCAAGTTACATAGAGCCAAGTTACATAGAGCCGAGTTACATAGAGCCGAATTACATAGAGCCGAGTTACATAGAGCCGAGTTACATAGAGCCGAGTTACATAGAGCCGAGTTACATAGAGGCGAGTTACATAGAGCCAAGTTACATAGAGCCAAGTTACATAGAGCCAAGTTACATAGAGCCAAGTTACATAGAGCCAAGTTACATAGAGCCAAGTTACATAGAGCCAAGTTACATAGAGCCAAGTTACATAGAGCCAAGTTACATAGAGCCAAGTTACATAGAGCCAAGTTACATAGAGCCAAGTTACATAGAGCCAAGTTACATAGAGCCAAGGTTAGGTAGAGCTTAGAGCTTCGGCGTTAGCAGCTATGTAAGTTAGTTTAGGTTTCTAAGGCGCCGGGGCGGGAGCTTTGCGATGCGGAGATTCGCGTGGTCGAGGTTCAAAAACTGAGGACTTTTTACGATTTCTTGCGACCCTCTGCGGAGATTCGCGTGGTCGAGGTTCAAAAACTGAGGACTTTTTACGATTTCTGCTGCGCGCGCGACCCTCTGCGGAGATTCGCGTGGTCGAGGTTCAAAAACTGAGGACTTTTTACGATTTCTGCGGTGCGCGCGCGACCCTCTGCGGAGATTCGCGTGGTCGAGGTTTTTTACGATTTCTGCTGGCCGCGCGCAACCCTCTGCGGAGAATCGCGTGGTCGAGGTTCAAAAACTGAGGACTTTTTACGTTTTTTAGCATGCGCGCGCGACCCTCTGCGGAGATTCGCGTGGTCGAGGTTCAAAAACTGAGGACTTTTTACGATTTCTAGCATGCGCGCGCGACCCTCTGCGGAGATTCGCGTGGTCGAGGTTCAAAAACTGAGGACTTTTTACGATTTTTGCGCGCGCGACCCTCTGCGGAGATTCGCGTGGTCGAGGTTCAAAAACTGAGGACTTTTTACGAGCCGCGCGCGACCCTCTGCGGAGAATCGTGCGCGTCGAAGCGCTCTCGCTGTGGCTCCGTGCGAATTTGTCTTAGTCTCGGCGAACCCTCTGCGGAGATTGTGCGTGTCGAAGCGCTCTCGCTGTCGCGCCGTGCAATGTTCTTCTCGCGAAACGGTTTTTGGAAGGTGTCTCGTGGTTTGCGCGCCTGCTTTTGCAATCCCGCGGTCGCGGGTTCGATTCCCCCCTGGTCCGCGGCAGCTCCGGCTTGAAAATCGCAGCTTTTAAGTACAAACGTAGTACGCGGAGCGTGCTCCTGCAGCTCCGGCTGGAAAATCGTAACTTTTAAGTACAGACGTAGTGCGCGGAGCGTGCTCCCGCAGCTCAGGCTGGAAAATCGCAATTTTTAAGTGCAAACGTAGTACGCGGAGCACACCCCCCGCAGCTCCGGCTTGAAAATCGCAATTTTTAAGTACAAACGTAGTACGCGGAGCGTGCTCCTGCAGCTCCGGTTGGAAAATCGCAATTTTTAAGTACAACGTAGTACGCGGAGCACATTCCCGCAGCTCCGGCTGGACAATCGCAACTTTTAAGTACAAAAATAGTACGCGAAGTACATTCCCACAGCTCCGGCAGCACTTGCGCAGAGCAACTTGCGCAGAGTCACTTGCGCAGAGCAACTTGCTTTCTGCGAATTGCACAGAGCACTTGCACACAGCACTTGCGCAGAGCAACTTGCACAGACCAACTTGCACAGAGCCAATGCGCAAAGCGCTCGCATGGAGCAACTGGCGCAGAGCACTTGCGCAGAGCAACTTGCTCAGAGCACTTGCGCAGAGCAACCTGCACAGAGCACTTGCGTGCAGCAGCGTGCAGAGAGCAACTTGCCCGAAAGCAGCCTGGAACAATGCAGCTAGCTTCGTGAGAAATCATGCAGCGCAACTTGAGCAAAGCACATTGCGCTGAGCAGACTCGCGCAGAGCCACGCTTTATAGAGCCAAGTTGCGCAGAGCCACTCGCGTAAAGTAGCTTGCGCGCGCCAGGTAGCAGCGCGCCAAGTTGCGCAGAGCCATCTTGCGCAGAGCTAAGTTACACGAGCCTGCTTTGCAGAAACATACGCTTTCATGACATAGCGATTTTTGTGTCTGACTCGGGCAGGAGCCGGTTGCTATTGGCTTGTTTTCCCGAAAGCATCGCGAAGGGTTCTTCCGTGCGGAGCCCTTGGACAAGTTACATAGAGCCAAGTTACATAGAGCCAAGTTACATAGAGCCAAGTTACATAGAGCCAAGTTACATAGAGCCAAGTTACATAGAGCCAAGTTACATAGAGCCAAGTTACATAGAGCCAAGTTACATAGAGCCAAGTTACATAGAGCCAAGTTACATAGAGCCAAGTTACATAGAGCCAAGTTACATAGAGCCAAGTTACATAGAGCCAAGTACATAGAGCCAAGTAGAGCCAAGTACATAGAGCCAAGTTACATAGAGCCAAGTTACATAGAGCCAAGTTACATAGAGCCAAGTTACATAGAGCCAAGTTACATAGAGCCAAGTTACATAGAGCCAAGTTACATAGAGCCAAGTTACATAGAGCCAAGTTACATAGAGCCAAGTTACATAGAGCCAAGTTACATAGAGCCAAGTTACATAGAGCCAAGTTACATAGAGCCAAGTTACATAGAGCCAAGTTACATAGAGCCAAGTTACATAGAGCCAAGTTACATAGAGCCAAGTTACATAGAGCCAAGTTACATAGAGCCAAGTTACATAAGAGCCAAGTTACATAGAGCCAAGTTACATAGAGCCAAGTTACATAGAGCCAAGTTACATAGAGCCAAGTTACATAGAGCCAAGTTACATAGAGCCAAGGTTAGGTAGAGCTTAGAGCTTCGGCGTTAGCAGCTATGTAAGTTAGTTTAGGTTTCTAAGGCGCCGGGGCGGGAGTTTGATCGTCGCTCGGGATTGCGACCCTCTGCGGAGATTCGCGTGGTCGAGGTTCAAAAACTGAGGACTTTTTACGATTTTAGCATGCGCGCGCGACCCTCTGCGGAGATTCGCGTGGTCGAGGTTCAAAAACTGAGGACTTTTTACGATTTTTAGCATGCGCGCGCGACCCTCTGCGGAGATTCGCGTGGTCGAGGTTCAAAAACTGAGGACTTTTTACGATTTCTGGGGTGCGCGCGCGACCCTCTGCGGAGATTCGCGTGGTCGAGGTTCAAAAACTGAGGACTTTCTACGATTTTTCGCGCGCATGCGCGCGCGACCCTCTGCGGAGATTCGCGTGGTCGAGGTTCAAAAACTGAGGACTTTTTATGATTTCTGCGGTGCGCGCGCGACCCTCTGCGGAGATTCGCGTGGTCGAGGTTCAAAAACTGAAGACTTTTTGCGATTTTTAGCATGCGCGCGCGACCCTCTGCGGAGATTCGCATGGTCGAGGTTCAAAAACTGAGGACTTTTTACGATTTCTGCGGTGCGCGCGCGACCCTCTGTGGGGATCGTGCGCGTCGAAGCGCTCTTGCTGTGGCGCCGTGCGATTTTGTCTTAGTCTCGGCGAACCCTCTGCGGAGATTGTGCGTGTCGAAGCGCTCTCGCTGTGGCGCCGTGCAATTTTCTTGCTCGCGAAACGGGCTTTGGAAGTTGTCTCATGGTTTGCGCGCCTGCTTTTGCAATCCCGCGGTCGCGGGTTCGATTCCCCCCTGGTCCGCGGCAGCTCCGGCTTGAAAATCGCAGCTTTTAAGTACAAACGTAGTACGCGGAGCGTGCTCCTGCAGCTCCGGCTGGAAAATCGCAACTTTTAAGTACAGACGTAGTGTGCGGAGCGTGCTCCCGCAGCTCAGGCTGGAAAATCGCAACTTTTAAGTACAAACGTAGTACGCGGAGCACACCCCCGCAGCTCCGGCTTGAAAATCGCAACTTTTTAGTACGCGGAGCGTGCTCCTGCAGCTCCAGGTGGAAAATCGCAATTTTAAGTACAGACGTAGTATGCGGAGCTCCCGCAGCTCAGGCTCGGAAAATCGCAACTTTTAAGTACAAACGTAGTACGCGGAGCACACCCCCGCAGCTCCGGCAGCACTTGCGCAGAGCAACTTGCGCAGAGTCACTTGCGCAGAGCAACTTGCGCAGAGCAACTTGCACAGAGCAATTGCACAAAGCACTTGCGCAGAGCAACTTGCACAGACCAACTTGCGCAGAGCACATGCGCAAAGCGCTTGCGCGGAGCAACTGGCGCAGAGCACTTGCGCAGAGCAACTTGCTCAGAGCACTTGCGCAGAGCAACTTGCACAGAGCACTTGCGCGCAGCAGCTTGCAGAGAGCAACTTGCGCGCAGCAGCCTGGAACAATGCAGCTTGCGCAGACCACTTTCGTGAGAAATCGCGCGGCGCAGTTCGAGAGGAAAGTAGGATGATGAGATGGAGCTCTCATGTGACCATACACACTGAGCATCGCCGCGCGCAGACACGCTCGCCGCAGCGATGTAAAAAGGTGTCTCCGCGGCTGGATGAGCACCTGTGGAAAAATGCTTTCGGGCCAATCGTCCTCTAGTTTCTTTTTCTTTTCAGCTTTTAGGTGGGGTTTAGGGTTGAACCCACGAAGAGTTCGTCACTTTTAGCGGATCCGCAAAGCGGACCGCCCAGCCACGGTTTGCTTCAGGAGCCTCCGATCGAAGATTCGCCCGAGGCGCGGTCGGGGGCTTGCCTGGGAAGTGGTCGTGCCTTCGGGGGACGCGCTCTCGGGACGTGCGCCAGACCGAGTTTGAAGAGAAGCCGAGCGGCACGGGGAGCGATAGCTACGAAGAGGCCTTGTCTAGGTGAAAAGGCAGCGCTGGCACTTCTAACAGCAGTGCGGGCTTTCGGTCCGTTTTCTCTCCAGTTGTTGTGGGTTGGGCCTGCTATTTCGCTCGGGTCCTCAAAGGCTGGTGGATACCCATGCTGTGTCAAACAAAAAAACGAGCAACAACCCAGCATAAACAGCCCCAAGCACACGACAGGTAGGCAGAAAACGAATCCAGGTGATACGGATGCGTTTCCCACTTTGCCTGAAGCAAACGCTTTCGCCGCGATGCGGAAAATGCTTTGCCAATTCCTTCTTCGCGGCTTTTGAGTGGCGCGAGTCGCTACCCCCCTCCTCCGGTCCTCCCCCGCTACAAAATTCGGCTTCAGATTGGCCGCCTTGGCTTAGTTTTGGTCAGAATCATGCTGGCCAATAGAACAGCAACTGGGCAATAGAAATGGAAAAGCAAGAACCTCCTCGCCCTCCTGCGTTTCCAGCTTGTAGCCTTCCGCTTTTGCAATTTTGTAGAGCCTGCTCTCCCGGACCTCCAAGATTCCGACAGCCCTCGCCTTCTTTTTGTGACCCTCTGGGACGTTCCGGCACTCAAGCAACGCAACACCTTTGCTGAAAATTGATATTGATGCGCAGGCCTTGTCAAATGTTTGCCTCCTTGTTGGGTATGTGGATGTCAGCGCCGTGCTGTACTACTGCATCAACTCAGACAGGTTTCTTGGCATAGAAATTGTGGATGCGCACGGCCGAAACCATCTGGGACCGACGACCCCCGTTTTGGGCCGAGTCACGTTAGCTGAAGGCTTCGGATGGCCCGTCACTTCCGTTGCAGCTGGCCATGTCTCACCGCCTGCGTTTGAGACCAGCCCTTGCCTTCTGAATTTTTCAACACATGCTCCATGCACCGTGTCGTATGGTGTGAAACTGCAGGCCTGAGCTGGTTTTCGAGTGAAGCATATACTGACCTAGTACATTTTTGCTGTATGACCATGCACAATTTGATTCTGCTATGTTCGTTTGGGGAACAACTAGCAGGTGTTTCATTTGATACCCGACTGAGGCAGCACCACTACCATTCACGACCTACTGTAGAAAGGGACTGCCATAGGGCGGCAACCCCAACCTTCCATTAGGAAGCGGGGCATAGCTCACCAGATTTGGAGCGCCAATTTGGGAGACAAGAAACTGCGACTGTGGCTCAAATGCTTCTTTTTTGGCGAAAGCCCTGAAGCATGTTTGGGATGTACATCCCCCTGTGTAGATTTGATGTTGACCGAAGGGTCCGACTCGAAATTTCCCATCCGCTGGGCTGCACCATCGTGGGCACCCCCGTTTTATTTTTTGCCACGCGCCTGACAGGTCAACGCCAAGTACGGAGACCTCATCCGGGCGGTGTACCAGCGCAACAACCCCGCCAAGCTTGGGGAGGCCTGTTTGGCTCAGGTTTCAAGGGACATCAGAAGCAACCCCACCCATTTGGGTATGGTTCAAAATTAAACCACTACATAGGAGACCGCAGGTTTTGGTCCATGTTTCCACTTACTAGGGTTCCAGTTGGGGTACCTATTCTTGACTCACAGCCAATTGGAGGTTGGGGAACGGAAACAGGCGCCGGGAAGGTTCATCCTGGTTCAAGTCTGCTCAATGATTCAATGGACGTTGATTGACTGGCTTCCGGGATGGGCAGACGAGGTTTGGTGATGACAACTTTTCACATACACCCAGGACACAACCGAACATTGGGGGTTCTGCTGGAGCTGGCAGGGTGGCCAAAATGGGCTTGAGCAACCAGACGTTTCCGAAAGCGAAGGAAAAAGGCTGGACGAATGCTTGTCCAAAAGTACACTTACCTGCCAAGCTGGAAAACTTTCTATGTTTGCTCGTCATTAATTCAGTCAAGACCCGAAAAGTTGATCTCAGCAGGAGAAAGAAGCATTGGCAGCAGCACTGACCTCTGAGCTTCTTTCATCGTAAAATGGACGAGAAACATGCCGCCTGCGGAACGGGAAAACATGTGGGGGGTGCTGAAGCCTTGTGGGGGGCGCCTGGCCGTCATTTTTGCGCTGGCAATCAACCACTAAAATGTCTAAAGCCAACCATGTTTGATTTGCTAGTTTCCCGTTTTGGTGCTTGTTTGAGCACCGTCTCAGTTGCCTCGGACAAGCGGGATTGAGATGGACAACGCTATGACATCAAGGGACTCGCTCATTTAAGCGAGCGGGATCCATTTGCCCGGAAATTGATTCAATCAAAGGTTTGAATCATCCGATGAAGGGGTTGCGGACACCGTTGGTGCGGCTTGCCTCCATAGCTGGTAGTCTTTCAGAGAGCAACTGATTGAGCAGCGGAGAATTAGCCATTCCAAAAACACCCGTGAGCCACAACACATGCAACTGGGGAAAACCCATGGGAATGTTTTCCTTGGCAGACAAAGCACACGGACCGACCCATCAGGTGGAGTCTCTGCTCCAGAAGTGCGCCAGGGGGGGAGCCTGGGGACTGGGCTTCTCACTGGGCGGAGGTACCGTGTTGCTGGTTGGGCAAGCGATCTCTTCCAAGGTTGCTTGAAGGGATTCCGCATTTCCACCCCAAAATGGCTTTCGCAAAGCGTGCAGATTGACGAACCACGCGCACGCACACAGCAAGTGCGTGCCGAGGACCACAAACAAACTCTGATTGGTGTCGGGTACGAGGCTTTCGTGGAGAACAAACCCTCTTGAACCGGGCAATCCTAAAGCCTTCGCTTGAAGTCCGATGGGCAATGAGCCAGACTGAGGGGCCGAACCGGTCACAGTGTTCAAGGTCGAGGCCGGGTTTGTTGGAAACAGGAATCCCCTTCTTGTTCCAATCTTTAGGACGTCATGATGCAAAGTAGTTGTGAAATCGAGCAAGCTAGCAGCTAGCATTGTGGGCCTCATGGCAACCTTCTGCTGAGTTCGCATTTTGAGCACGCCCGCTAACAGTATCACTCCTGATTGGGGCCACAAGAACGGCAATCCATTCACCGGACATCGCCTGAAGGCCAAACAAGTCACGCAAGTGGCAGTATCCCTTGACATCGCCTCCGCTTCCGGGCACAAAGAGCAACGTGCGAGAAACGGTGGATGGGCGGAAAAGACTTCCATCAGGAGTCGGTGCCAAGAGCTCCCTCCAAGCCACCAGCTTGACAACAACACGCCCTGCAAGGACTCCTCGGAACTACTTTGGAGCATGATTTCTTGTTCTTCGAGAACCCACCTTCCCAACAAGATCAACGCGTTGAAAAGGACACATCCCGGCCTGTGTCCAAGCTTCTCGAGAGCACCCCCAAAGTCAGGTGCCCCCAAAACAGGGGGCCAAGTCGCTTCATATCATCTGAGTTAGTTGCCAAGATCTCCCGGCTAGCGCCGAAATCTCCGGCGCTCTCTCGGGCGATGGCCCAGAGATGGCGAGAGGGGAGCAGGGCGCTGGAGGCGGCGCTGAAGCTGCGGAAGGGCGGCAAGGAGCAGATTCAGGCGCCGCTGGCTATGAAGTGGTTGTGTTCCGATGGGCTTTTTTTTTTTTTGGGGGGGGGGTGGGAAGCCATGGTTTTCTCTCAACAATTCAATTCGGGTTTCCATCCATGCCACTGCATCCCAATGGGAGGTGTCCAACTTGTTGAAATGATTGGTGGAAGGGAGGTACGGCTGAGGCTGGGATCTTTTGATCTTGGTTCTTAGCCTCCCCTATGGCGAGACAGGGGTGGATACCCGACAGGGGTCCGTCCAAATGGATCCAGGTGACCTCCGGTTGCTATGGGAGGGACCTTTGGAGGTTCACTGTGGATCAGAGGCAAACCTATTTTGGGTTCGGGGCAATAGCTGACATGGGCAAGGGGCTTGGGGAGGTGCTGGAGACGGAAAAAGGCAAAGCTGAAACCTGAAACGTAGCTCCCCCGAAACAAGCAGGAATTGTTTGGGTCATGTTGAAGGGACAGGGCTGAGATTTTTTGTGGCTTCGCCGTTCTGAAACTGCTGCTTTGGTCGGACTTCTATCCAGGGTCTGTGGCGGAGAGGGCGGGAAACGGGGGATGTTCTACGGTGTAGACACCTGTTTTCTGGGGGTTGATTCCCCATTCTTTTCAACCATCGTTCTTTCCAAAAACCAGCCGTTTTTCCTGGGTTTCCGGAGGTTTTCTCAAAAGAAGGATCCATGGAAAGAATGGGGAAGTATCCCTAGATGTTTGACCGATTTAGGGGAGTAATGTGCATGCCTGCATTTGTGCCGCCGCATGCCATGCTCATTTGGCACACAGTCACAAACGCTTTTTTCCATGGTGATCGGGGAGGGGACCAATGCAGTGCATGATACCGGAGACTTATTCGCGGCTTTGATTCACAAGTCCTGAGAAACCCTAGTCCAAGTGATTTCACTTTGGCACCCTGTCAGGCCGAACCCGTTATTTTGAAGCACGCTGACAACAGGCTTCGGATTCAAGAAGAGACATCCACAGAACAATGGTGCTTTGGGCACTCGAAGAAGTACGGGCTTTGAGGTTGCCATTCACTCTTTGACCTCTCAATGCGCGATAGCTACAACATTTTGCTCCGGTTGCGTGTGGAATAGTGTTTTTGGGAGTCGCAACCGCCACAGCCAGGCAGATGGCTTACAGCGGTTTTGTAGTGAATTGTGCCTTTTGGGCAATGCTCGAAAACCCTTTTGCGTCAACGTGAGTTGGACTCTTCTGCATGCCTCATGCAACATCCAATTTCGATACATGTTCTCATGTCATTCCATCACTGACTGCCAGTCTGATGCGTTTCTCGTTGGTGTCAAGCGCCCGTGAGTTGAACTATGGGGTCTGAGTTTCTATGAGGGCGGCCGCGCTGAAAAGCGCAGCTTTGGGAGTCCCGAGACAATGCTGACCCCGGACCAATAAACGTGTCGTATTTTTGGGGGTGTCCCCTGTAAAAGTGGTCCGAACCCCCACTAAAAAAGGCAAAAAAACACACCCCCCCCCCCCCCCCCCGCCGCTATGAATAAACCGGGGGCCCCGGGGAGCCTGGTGCCTTGCAGGTGATCATGGATTTTGATCACACCATGACCTGCTTTCGGCGGATGGACGGTGAACCGGCTCGATCTGGCTGGGTTCGGTTTGGATGGGTGGGTTTGGCGCTCCGAAGGATTCTCCCGTGCATGCTCAACAAGACAAAGTTTGCTTCTTTGCACGCCAGCCCCAGGCTTTGCAAGACATATTCCAGTGGAAATCCACCAGGCGAGCTCGCGTGCGTGCGATCCCCGTATTGGGAACCCTGGTTGATTGCGGAGGTATCCCTTTCAAGAGATCAGATCAGGACACTTTTGGTGGAGGGAGACACAACCCTGATTTATGCGCCAGCGAGCAATTCTCCGGGGTCGAACAATTTGCATGGCTTTCACAGGGGTTGCTCCTCAGTGGCTTCCAAAGCAGGACTCATCTAAAGCTGTTCTCTTTCAGGTTGGTGCATCTGGAAACTTTAGAGTCTTTAGAACTTTAGCTCCTGGTAGTTGTCCAGTTATCCGATTAAACACAACATGTCCAACCAATAAACAAAGCAAGGTCCAAGCTGGATCAACTCTCTTTCCAGAGCTCGTCTTTGGAAGAATTTGCTTCTCTGGATACGGAACTAGGCGGATTGTAGCGACCTCGCAAAGGGTTTCGGTTTGCCACCTCACCCGTGATGCCGATGCCCTTTTTTGTTGGTCCATTTTCTTATGTTCGCTTTCAGCTTACCTCAGCTCGGCGAGTCGATGCGGCATGAGGCACCAACATGCCTCAGAGCCACTGCTCCATCGAGCACTTGAGCTTGATGCCCGACGCGTTGCGCGGCATGCAATGCAGCAGCACATGGCGCGCTATATGGACGCGTGTCTTTTCGAGGGTACCCTTTTCAGGTTGATCTCAAGGGATTCCAAAGAGCAAAGCACAACACATCTAGCCCAAAACAAATGAAGCCTGCCTCTGCACGGCGCATGGCGCGTGCATGATGCACACGCATACCTGGATCTTCCTAAGTCCGATTTTTTCTGCCTTTTCGTGGGAAATGGTTTTCAGGGAAGGTCATCATATGTTTGCCTGGAGGCAATTTTCCTGAGTTTTGTATTTTGGATGTCTGCAACAAACTGGCGGAGGCTTTTTTCCCAGATACAAGAGCCTTTTTTGGCACGAAGGCGTTTTTTGCTGAACCCTGTTCTAGGCAGGTGTCCCACAGGCGCTTTTTGAAGGAAAGGGCGTTTTTTGCTGGAAACGACTAAAATTTATGTAGTTACGGCAAAAAGGGGAAATTTTCCACTCAGGGTTTTCTATGTATGTACATGCCCAATGAGCGCATGTGTGCCAAGCGCACAGAGACACACACACAAACAGATTGTTGCCTGGCAGCAAGTTGAGACATGCGGTTTCATGGCTGGTCGGGACTCTATCAGGGACGTCCGCTTTCCGTTACTTGTTTGCGCCGGACTTGCTGCCTCGCTGCATCACGTGGCCGCCGTACTCCCCAAATGATTTGCCCAGTTTCTTCCAGGGGTCAAGGATGCTGAGCCTCGAAAGGGATCGATTTTCTGTCAAAGCACTGTGGCTTCAACACCGGCGGCAGCGCCCCGGCCTTGCGACTCGCACCGATTTTTCCGATTCGCTGACTCGGCGGCTGAGGTTTCGCGAGGGCTACGGGCAACTCTGGGAGGAGCAAAAGAGGGAGCTGGCGGCTGGGATATGGCCCTGGGAGATGCGCCTTGGGCCAAGAAGAAGGGGGGCGAGGTTCTTGCGATCGGTTTGCGATCAGCGCAGAGCTTTTTGGGTGGGCGCCTGGTGCCAAAAAGGGAATCCGACGGGTATCAAAACTTCTTTTTGACCCGGAGTTGAGAAACTTCTGGTGCTGCGGGCGGAACCAGCTGGATGACCTTAGGTGGTGCGCATGTATTTTGACAGACCTTTAGCAACACAGAAACGACATTCCCATTGCAACCACAATCGTGAATCTCCCCAACAAGCCTTGAAGAGGGGAGTTTGCACGTAGTTTGTTCCTGCTCCCTGCGCAATGGCTTTGAGCGAGCTGGAGGACAAGGTGGTCTGGTTCTGCAGCGAGAACCGTGGGAAGTTTGATCAAATTATTTTGCAACTCGATCACTGGGTGGACAAGATCAATGGAAGTATTCAAAATCGCTCTGATGGACTTGTGAGGCTCACAATCGATGTGCCGCAAGAGGATGTGGAGGTTTGCGTGACCGCGGCCTACCGCTGCTCGACAGTCAGGCGTTTGCGAGTGCTGCGCGCTCCTGTTGATGTTCTCCGCGCAATGGGCCCCGAACCACAGTGCAGCTCGTGCAAGGAGATCGCTCGTCTCAAGGTTCTTCAGGCAGCAGAGGCCGCGAACGCCGCACTTCTCATCCGAAAGGATGCTGAGTCATGTGATAAAGTTGTCGGCGTGGCCGTGCAGGATTCCGGGCTGAGCATCCGTGCGCTGCAGGACTTCCCGGG